CTGTTCTCCTTCCCCTTACACGCTACAGCTACACAAGTAGAAGCCGCTGACATTTCTCCCCTGGTTTAACATTTAAGTGGAAATGTGTGTAGTGACACACTGACAAGTGTTTGGACAGAGCAGCAGTGCCTCTGCAGCACTTTGTCACAGTTGTACAAACTTCACACAGCAGAGGCCTTTGTCAAATCCTCCATTTTTCTTTCTGGACTCTTTCCCTGCTGCTTTTTTTTTTTTTCCTTCAAGTTTGTGAGATTTCTTGACAACAACTTTTTTTCTGTCTCTGAGTGTCAACTACTTCTGCTGATGCCAGAGTGATTCACAGTGATGTTCATGCAAAATTTAAGAAACATGGAACTTCCCCCCGCCTCTATTTGAGGAACCATGCAAGCTCACTTTGACTTTTTCCTCTTAGAAGAACTAAACAAGCGTATCCCAGAGAACTTAGGAGGACTCTGATAGAGGCCAAAGAGATGGCCCCTTTATGGAGTGTGGTCCGAGGGCTTGAGTTGACTCTAAGTATAAAAACAAGGCATGGATGAACCTCTTTTGTGAGCCATGTGACCGGCAGGTTATTAAGCTTTAATACGTCAGCTCGGCAACTGTGAAGGGGCCGTTTCCTTTTCTGTCAGCATGAGTAACCTCTTCCCTCATTTCTTGCAAAACAGCTATTATAGGTAATTATCCATGTCGTGATCTGCCTACAAAAAGACGCACTACAGAAGACCTTGAAACTGCTTTTTAGCACTTCCGCCACACCAGCTACAAATCGAGCACCCGACAACACTGGGTGCGCGTGTTAAGTGTGCTTCATTAAAATCCAGACATGTCCTCTTCACGGAGGAACTCTATGACAGCGAAATTAATAACGAGTAATTATTTCTTCATTCAGAAGCCCTGTAATTTGTTCCTGCGTGGCATCAAAAATAAAAGGAGGGAGTCCAGCATCTGACCCTTGTATATCAGCCTCTTGTCTAAACTCTCTCCACCCGAGTTTTTGGACAGCGTCCAACTATCATGAAAAGACAGAGTGAACACCAACCCCCCCACCCCACTACACCCCACTACAAAAAAAAAAACTGGATTCCAAACTCCAAATTCCTCCTTGAGTAAAAAAAGGAAGAAAGGACAACATCAAAACAACACTGAATCAAATTGCTAAAATTCTCTTTCTGACCGCAGCTCCTGCTCGCCCTCACCTATAAGGAGCACTGATATTGATTACCAATGAAGTCAGTTGATGGAGATTTGTTAGCTGGAGCAAATGGACACTGAGAGGGCACCCAAAGTCCCTCCATCAAAATATTCAGAGAGGACCATTTCCGAGGCAGTGTTCTCAGCTCCTTCCTACCGGGGTGAATGGCCTCTCTGTGCAACCTGCCAACTATCTGCCAATGGCTGCTCTCTTTTACAAGTGAATAGACTGAGTTTAGCCACAGTTAAAAAGACACACTAACGTGCCATGGCTGCGCCACAATGGCCGCCCGGGTAATTTGCCAAACCTAATGATGCCGGTTTGGCCCGGGCGAGAGGAGGTAGAGAGCAGGAATCCTAAAGAGGCACACAGCTGCACTGATCCCTCTCTTCCTATCTCTCTCCTCGCTCCTCCCCGTCTCCCTCCGTCCTCTTATCATGATCTCCATTTCTTTTGCTTTGCTTTTTTGCCAGATGACACGACTGGGATGTATAACCAAACACGTACAGCTGCAATCACTCTCTGTCAATACCCGCTGCCCCACTTGAAGGGAGCCGCTCTGTCAGTAGACATGATTGAAGATTACTGGTTGGACAGCTCATTCCCTGTAACATGAATTTCAATGTGAAGCCAGGGTGATGGAAAAATCACAAAAAAACAAACATCCAATGGCCTTAGCTACGCTTGAACGGTACCACAACAACAATTTATTTAACATTTTTATGCATCAAACTTTTAGTTTTATCCATTAAGCAGTTGTTGAAGAGTTGTGGTGTCACTGATCAAGATGTTTATATCAATAATTGGTTAATTTACAGCCTATAGCTACTTTAATGCCAACCCTAATGTCATCTGCTCTATCAACAGATGTATTTTTACTTACTTAGCTCTGAATGGCAAAAACGTTAGTAACAGTTCATGTAGTATGCATGACTGCTAATGATTATCTCAGAGTGGATGATGCAGAGACGGAGCTGCGCTCTAATGCTTGCATTGATCTAAAATTTTTAAAAGACAGTAGTTGTGTTTCACTTCAAGGCAAGACTGATAATCAATATTTAAGGAGCTGTGCAGAAGCTACAAACACTCTTGATATGGAGGAGATGGTTTACAAAGGTGCCAAACTGTGCCATGAGTGCTAACCACCGCACAACTGGGGTATTCAGCTGCATGTTAAGTTAATTTGTGATTCTAAATTACATCTAGGCTTGAATGTGGGCGTCTTTGTTAGGCCTGTGACAAAGTGGTGAGCTGGCCAGGGTGTACCCTGCCTCTTGCTCTGTGACCTCTGGGACACCCTGAATTTGGAAGGCAGAAGATGGATGCATTCAACAAAAGTCCTCCCATAAAGAACAGAAATACATTAATTCACATGTTATAAGAGCGCAGACAACGCCGATGTGTTAAATTGTACACATCCTTTATGAGTGTTTTAACATTTGGTATTAAAGAGTCTTAGCGCTTGTTTACATTTGTATTGACCACTGTCCACTTTTGATCTGATCCGCCAAGATGAACTTTAAACTCAAGTGTTAACACGGTTTAGATTACAAAGTGCAGCTGCCAAAACAAATCATAGAGATCAATCCACACCTCTCTAATCTGTATTAAGAGTTCCTTCACATACTGAACAGTCATCTGTAGACAAAGAGCAGTATTCATATGTTGGCAAATTAATAAAAATCCCAATCCACTCAAATTTTTCCCCAAAAAAATTCTTATTCATGCTGTCATGAAATACCAAAGGACAGCCAGCCTTTATGGTCAAAATATGTAAAATAACGAAATTAATTTTATGTCTTGAATGAATGGGCCGATATTAGCCAACAAATGAAATGAAATTTAAAAAGTAAAGAAGAGATATAAGAAACTTTAACCATGTTATGAGGATTGATGTTGCATAGTTTGTCCACCAGAGGGCACTCTGAAAACTACCCTGTTGGTAACACACCTGATTGGAACGCCACAAACACAATAACCAGATCATCTGACCACAGTTGGGCAGAGTGTAACGCTTGAGTAGCTCAACTCTATGTCAGTCAAAAGCTGATTGGTTGACAAGCCAAAGGAGTGACAGGAGAAGCGTGAAAAAACATCAAAGACGGGTTTGACTTTGTTCGTTATAACCTCGCTCTTCTCCATGGCTGACCAATGGTACAACAACAGCACAAGCAAGAGTAGCCCTTGTTGTACCACAAACTTGGGACACTGCCTCCATCTGAGAAGAGACGGGCAGGTAGACGGGCAGCCTGTAACTCCCTACAGTCTGCAGAGAGACATGCTGAGCTCCTAAACGAGTAAATAAATAACTACACAATAATTTTAGGGAAATCTGTTTGTGTTTCATGTGACCTACAGAAAAAAATATTGCCTATTATATCTGACTTTTAAATGACCAACTTCTGATATTGGTCCTAAAAGCCCTATATTGTCAAGGCTACTGTGTTCTACATATAAGCCCTTTACTAATAATAATAAAGCACTTTACAATTCCACTATTCATTCACTCTCACATTCACACACTGGTGAAGGCAAGCTACAGTTGTAGCCACAGCTGCCCTGGGGCAGACTGACAGAAGCGAGGCTGCCATATCGCGCCATCGGCCCCTCTGGCCAACACCAGTAGGCGGTAGGTGAAGTGTCTTGCCCAAGGACACAACGACCGAGACTATCCGAGCCGGGGCTCGAACGGGCAACCTTCCGATTACAAGACGAACACCCAACTCTTGAGCCACGATCGCCCCAAAAAACTATATTCCTAATGAATCCATTTTGCTATCACCAACATTTTGATTATCAGCTTTAATTTCATTCATAGTAACTGATTAAAATGACTCGTAAATGTCTTACTCCCCAAAACTGTGCACGGCAAATACAAACTGAGTTAATATTATCATTCCAAATATGATTGTCTTGGGTTTTGAATTTCTTGGGTGGCTGACAGTCTGAGCATTTTAATTACTAATCCACTGCACATAACCGATGCTGCTGTCATGAAAAATCTCATAAGACCTGGTCCTTATAACCCACCAGAAAAAATGATCATGGCTACTATTTTCCACCAACGACTAATTTCCATAAATCATGCTCATAGTGTAAAAACACCCCGAAGACATTAATCAGCAAACTGTTGGCGCTGTGATTAACTAGATTACAGCATGATGTCAGTAATTAATTGAAGAGTAAAAGGCGACTCTTTGCAATTTTAAAAATAGAAATAAATAAGCATGCTGCTCTGTGGGAAAACATCAAACAGGAACATTACACTTGCACACGTGCAACATGTGGCTTTTGCTTCAGAAAGGCTTCATTACTGAAGTGGGGGAAAAAAACCCACGCACACATTCAGACATAATAACCCAGACTAGGAGTATTGATCCAGGGCTGGGAGTTTCCTCTGTCTCCCATGCTTCTCTCCACCCCATTCCTCTGTCAGTTTTAGCACTTATGCTTTAACCAGAACAAAGGAAACATCCACTACACGTTACACAAACACATCCCCACATGTAGTCTCCGAAGTCACAGCTAGGGTGATGTATGCTGAAGACGAGCGAGGGGGAAAAAGAGGAGGGGTAGGTGAAGGGTCATATTATAGATGATTAGAGAAGAAATGAGCCTGCAGTGACACGAAAACTGACAGGCAGGCAGAAGGAAAAAAACAGGCAGAAAAAAGTAGACACAAAGACAGAATGGACAGGACAACACAAAAGAATAAGCAGTTGCACTGATGCAGCCAATCTCCGCATGGGATATGTGAAAGCAACGCACACACGCCGCACAAATATCACACAGAAGAAAATAAACTTACTAGTTCACCATCAGCACCAGACAGATTCGGCAGATGAACGAGCGTGGCACAGATCCCGGCGCTTCACATGGTGGGAGAGAGCGAGACAGAGAGACAGAGAGAGAGAGAGAAAGGAAGGTATGAAAAACAAGAGAGGGAGAACTTGTTACACATCGGCACACAGTGGCACGCTGACCAGAGAGTGTGCAGGGAGGTGAGGGGAGGTAAAGGGGTGTGTGAGTGTGTGTGTGTGTTTGTGATGGGGAAAATAAGGGAGGGGGGCAAAGAATTTCTATCTGTGCAGAGCAAACTGTTAACTCAATAGACAGAGATGTTCTGCCCTGTGTGAGATCCAGTTTTAGATTCTGTTAAAGAATTAGGTCACAGTATGGCGGGAGCCAGCTTGAGCGTTTGAATTAGTTGTGGTTTGTTACAAGCTCAGTATTGCTGTGCTTTTGCACTGCATTTAAGACTGATGACTTATCGACATGTCCTGTTATTCACTTATAGTCACCTCAGACTGATGCACTGATGAAGAGTAGCTGATTAGCAGGCAAAGTAACTGCTGACTGACACCTTTTTATGAGTCCTAAAGAATAATCAGAGCTAGCATCTTGAGCATAGCGTGTATATAAAATATAGACATCATCACTGTGGTGTCACCTGTTGATTAACAACAGCGGGGAGTGTTTAAGCTTTTTGAAGCTGACTGTGAAAATGAAAACGCCGCTTGATTTGCGATGGGCACGTCGTTAGCCAATGAGCATGCCCGGGATAAACCTCCTTTCTGGCTCTAGTAATAACCATAATTTACGAAATGTACTTGATGTTTTGTTCAGCAGTGGACCAACCAGAAACACTGTCCTCTGGTTTTAAGGCAGATTCCACTTTGGCTTCACTTTTCAGACTTGGAAGCTACGTGCATGTTTTATTCAGTCTATAATCTCAAGCTAAAGCAAATGGCATTTAAGGGGACACCTTTAATCTTGAGCTAAAGGGGCTGGCTTTGGATCAAAGCGGCCATACGCCAAATCAATCGATCATCTTATCACACAAGCACAAATAACTCAAAAGCTGGTGAAAATCATGACTCCCAGTTAGTATTGGAAAAATACATTAAAAGGACAAAACAAGCAATGAGAAAGCTGTGCGTGAGCCCACCATCGTGATCAATGGTAAATGGACTGGTACTTACAAAGCTCTTCTTTCCTTTAACTGAGCACTCAAAGCCCTTTTGAGCACTTAAAACACTAGGAGTGCTCAAGAGATAAGTTGCACTTCTCTCCTTTGCCCTCTTTCATGTGTGCTCAGTGGAGCAGAGGAGATACACGTGGTGAAACAACGAGCAGAGGAGAGCAGCAAAACATAACCAGAGACCTCGCACGGAAATCAGATGAAAAAGCTGCACATAAAGGGTGAGCAGGTAACCAAGTGCTCAATTTCCAGACGGCAGCAACCTAGGTTCCAATCCAACCTGTGGAGCTTTGCCCTGCCACTTTCTTCACTTTCCTGCCTGTCGCTACTATCATTATCAAATAAAGTCAATTGACAAAAAACAATATAAAAAAGGATTGTGTAGTGAATTATTTGGTTTTTTTGGTGGAGGTGGAGGGGTGGTTTAACATTTAACTTTCGCTTTCTCTTTCACACTCTTATAACCATGAGAAAGGCCACCACAGGGAGGGACTAACACGTCCCTGGTACTACCAAAACGCTAACAGCGAAGCTTGAGTTACAAGACAGATGGAGTGAGACTTCCAGTGACCACACCCGTAACTCAGTAATGAAGGTGGATAAGTTATTTTAAAAAATGCCCTTTTATTGCTGTAAATTTGAGCATTTTAACATGGTTTGAAACCACCTTAAACGCGCACCAAGTGTTGCTGGGTTTGCTATATTATATAGTGTGGCAAAAACAATCAGCAGCAGATAGATAATGGATGATAGGAAAATGTCACTTCTATCTGAGAAGCATTCTGAAGTAAAAGAAAATGTTGTGTTTATGGCAAAACCTTTAACATTAGTGCTAAGAATTAAAACACAGTGATGCACGAACTCTCAAACTAACTATTTACGCTTTAATCAGCAGGCAAAAAGGCAGACAAAAAAGAGGTTAAGTGCTCTGAGCTACATCTGAAATCATCTGGATACTAAAGTAAGACTTGGTGTTGGTTGAACACAGCTGCAGTAGCACCGATGTGTAAATGAATCAGGAGACAGAGTCAACACCAAATTCCATTAGTTCAGACAAACATTTCGTTTGCCTAAACAAAGAAATTCAGACTTCCCTCTTGAGAGACCCGATGCCCAGCAGAAAACTGTGATAACATCCGCTAATAAATTTAACTGACTGTGACCCATTAAGGGCAAAAAAGTTCAAACACAAGCACGAGTACTTTTACAACTGAATACGAATACTTTAAATATCCTACAGAAACTAGCTGTGGATTTTTGTGTTAGCTGTAGAATAATTAGAGATCATGTCAGAAAACATGAGTCTAACTCTTTAACTCTTGATGCAGTGAATAAATTTATTATTGACAGCTGTGAGCCAGCCTGGTTTTCCCATCAGGCTTTACAGAAACTTCATCCAGTGGATGTTAGAGGCGGGTGGATCAATCCAAATATTGATAGTCGATACTAGAGCAGGGCGATATGACCAAAAATATTTATCACGATATACATTTGAAAATTTGCGATAACGATATAACTGACGATATAATTGACACTAGACAAAATACTTTACAACTCCACAACTTTATTAGTGCAAAAAACCCCATCAACGTATTTTCAATTAAACAAGCAGCTGTTTTTTATGTGCATTAAAGTTATATAAAAACGTAACAGTGCAAATTCCTGGCTGACAGTTTAACCAAAAGTCATTTCCAGTGGAAATTGGCCGACATATCCTCAGCATAACCATGTATAATATCCACTAAACTTAAAAAGAGGTTATACACACACAATACAGTAATATTATGTTGAAGCACAGTACGTATCACTCCACGAGGCGCCTGCCTACGATAGCCGTAATGCTCCAACAATCCATCAAGCGGTGCGGCTTGGTAGCTCAGCAAAGTCGTACTAAAACATTTGACAGATTTTCGAGCGCCGTGTACATAAAATTGTTTCGAGGTCAGTAAACACAACCAGAATTCATACATAAGGCACACAGGATTATAGAAAGCAGTATCTTTACAGTATCATTAGACTTTTATTTTCTATTTACAACCACTGTCAATTTTCAGAAAAATCAAAGGATTGATGTTAAGTGTGCCGTATTTTCCAAAAAACATGGTAATAACAACGGCCCGCTAGCATGCTCTACCAAAAATAGTGCTTTGTTGTGTATCTGATGGACGAAAGCCAAACTGAAGTTGCAGCACTTTTACAAACCAATTCTGGTTCATCCGTTTCATTTAACGATCCGCTTTCGCTCTTCTCATTCTGCGTCACCGCCATGTGCGTATGTAAACACAGGCACTGCGCATGCACGTTTTACCCATATTCTATCGCGATATTTCATTTTCCTATCGTTGCCCAAAATTACACCGGTATTACCGTGAACGGTATGATATAGCCCAGCCCTAGTCGATACCACTGGTATCTTGTTGTCACTGGTATCAGATTGATACCAGTGCGATTAGATTGATGCTTATCATACCCTGAACACACTCTGTGAAAAATATCTGAACCTTTTTTGTTAGTTACTTGTTAGTTAGACAGTAACTTGGTATCAGATCAATACCAGAGTATCACTAGTGGATACCTGGTAATTACACATGCCTTTGGCAGATCAAATGAACATGGAAGTAAGCAATGAGGGGTGGGAGGAATGTCCGGAGAGTAGGGCTGGGCCATATTATACCTTTCACGGTAATACCGGTATAATGTTAGGCAACGATAAGAAAATGAAATATCATGCTAGAATATGGGTAAAACATGCATGCGCAGTGCCTTTGTTTTCATACGCTTATATGCACATGGCGAACAGGCATGGCGGCGACGGAGAATGAGAAGGGCGAAAGCGGATTGTCGAATGAATCAGATGAACCAAAATTGGTTTGTAAAAATGCTGCTGCAACTTCAGTGGTGTGGAACTGGTTTGGTTTTCATCCGTCAGACACCCACCAAAACAAAAATTTTGTAGAACATGGAAGCGGTCCATGGGGGCAAAGGGAGGAAACACCACAAACCTATTTCATCATTCGAACCAGAAGCACTTGTTGGAGTACAGCAAAGCTGTTTCAGCACGTGAAGAAACGTCCGCTTCAACTAGCACGGTGGTGAGACCAAAGAAGCTGACTCAACAAACAATTGGTGTTGCTTTAAATAGCTGCACGCTAGGACTGGGCAATATATCGAGTTTTTAAATATATCGACACAGTTTTATACGAGATATGAGATGTGACAATATCGTTTATATATCGATGTAGTCTACGTTACGTTATAACTATACTTGTGGAGCCGCAAGTTTTCCTCTCTTTCGTCCACTGTGTCTCTACGCAACGTTACTCTGCCTCGCCTCTCTCCTTCACTGAACACAGCTCCTCCGCCCCCATCGCTTCACCTGCAGGCAACGACAAGATGGACACGGCAGCTATCACAGAGGAGCTGGTCGGTAAAAAGAAAACATTTGGAGATTACTATTTTAGTGCTGTCAGCGTGACGTTAACGCCATAACTACATTAACGGGGCAAATATCTGTTAACGAGTTACCGCGCATCGCCCCGTGCATGAGGCTGAACGGCGTCAACGCGTTAACAAGCTAACCGGGCTAACGCGTTGACACCTAAAATCCTTTCATTTTCTCAAAATGTCGACAGTGCGCCTTATGTATGAATTCTGGTTGTGCTTACTGACCGCAAACCGATTTTATGTGGTACACAGTGCTCAGAAACCTTTCAAAAAGTGTTTTGGTACGACTTTGGTAAGCTACGAAAGCTGCACTGCTTAAAGGACTGTTGGAGCATTATAGCTACCAAGGAACCTCGCGGAGTGATACGTACTCTGCTTCAACGTAATATTACCTTACTGTGTGTATAAGGACCATAAATGGCACCTGTTCAGAGACACGGTTAC